ATATATATATATATACATATTATACATAAATATAAAGAAGTCCAAAACACTGGTAATTAAATAAAAAGTTCAAATAAGACCCAAGTATATAATTAAAATTTTGGGGCAAAAAACACATACAATAGCACACAATGGAGGAAATGATAATTATCTATGAGGGAATTTTTTTTTTAAGTTCATAGAAAATTTTCACTCTTTTAATTTCATTTTTCTATGACCTTTTTGAAGTCCCCTTACAAACTGACCCAATAGATTTTCAACTTTCAGCTGTTACTGTATAACCAAGACCTCAACAAGGTTTAATTATATAATATTTTACACCTTTGCTATTGAATGAACCATTAAATCCTCTATCATATCTCTCAACCGTCCTTCATTTTATCCTCTAGTTACTATCAATCTGCACAACTGGACACTCTACTGTGAGTAATGATAAAATCTGAACCATGAAATTAAAGTTGCAGAAATATCAGCACAAACCTTAAGTCTTTGACTTATATATAGATTACAGACTGTGATGAATGGATAATTAGAAAAAAAAAAAAGGTACATAAATATCCTTTATCTGATCATTGAGTTCCTGGTAATATCAATGGGAACTCTGTGTTAAACAATACATAAGTCCATTTCAAAGCATTTTACATATAATGTACCTATTTATAACAATGGAGGAAAAACAAGATATTGATTTATTTACTAAGAATATACTTAACAGTTAAGCTAGTCAGTAATTTTACCACAGTAATTATTTATCACAAGAAACTGGGCAGTCAATAGGACTTCATAAATCCTCCAAGTGAATCAATATACAAATTTTAAAAAAGCTTGCCTGGTCATTCTAAATTTGCAAGGCAAGTGAGGAAACTATGATTCAACTATGATTAATGATTATCAATGTTTTAGGGCCTTAAATAGGCAAGAAACAAAACAATTGCCACATTAGGGTTTCAAATATATATTATAGATGGCATTCATAATAAACCAAACCCACGGTCACTAAGTCAATGCTGACTCATAGTGAGTCGGGAGGACAGAGCAAAGCTGCTCCTTAGGTTTTCTGAGACTATAAATCTTGATGTGAGCAGACAGCCTCATTCTTCTCCTACAAAGAGTAGCCAGTGGGTTTGAATCACTGACTCTGTGGTTAGCAGTCCAATGCTTACCCCACTATGCCACCAGGACTCCTTTCAAAATTACATTTTTTACAGAAACATTATGTGACACCTAGTATCTGCCAAGGAAAACCTACTAGGTAGAGTGTACAGACTTTCTTAGTATCCTTAACAGATAACTTCTTTCAGAAAAAGAGTGACCTATATTTAATGAGACCCTTGTCATTAAAATTCTCAACAACATCATAATTGCCTCATATATTATTACTTAAATGGCCATCAAAATGTAGTCTGTCTATTAATTATCTATATATTAAAATTTTCTACTTGTTGTTGTTGTTAAGTGCCGTCGAGTCGGTTTCGACCCATAGCGACCCTGAATAGGGTTTCCGAGGCTGTAAATCTTTACGGGAGCAGAAAGCCTCATCTTTCTCCCGCGGAGCAGCTGGTAGTTTCGAACTGCTGACCTTCCGGTTCGCAGCCCGATTCGTAACCACTACGCTACCAGAGCTCCTTTCTACTAGCTAATAGTTAAGTAAATTTTCTAATTCATTCCCAAACTCTTCTTACAAGGTCTTGCACCACATATGTCCAACATGCTTAACCAACTGAATACAAGCACAAAGACAGTATAGTACAGTGTAGTGTTCTGTCATACAGCACACCACAGTACACGTTTCTGTGTAGTGCAGTGTGTAAGAGCGAGGATTCCAGCTCTTACATTTATTGTATACCAAGTTATAAACTTGTTTATACCTCATTTAGCCAAACACTGGTGGCACGATGGTTAAATGCTCAGTGCTAAGCAAAAGGTCAGTAGTTTGACCCCGCCAGCCCCTCTGTGGGAGAAGAGATCTGGCGATCTGCTCCTGTAAAGATTTCAGCCGAGGACTACTCTTATGGAGAAGGTCTGCTTTTGAGTTGGAAGCAACTCTATGGCATGCAATATGTCTCATTTGACCCTCCCATCTATGAGGGGGCTTCAAAAAGTTTGTGGGAAAAGTCCATTATCTCCTTAATTTCATTTTTTCCAGGGACTTTTTGAAGACTCCTCATTTCATGTAGGAGTATTAATACAGTACTTACCTCAACAGGCTGTTGTGAGGTTAAATAAGTTAATTTATGAAAAGCAACTCTAACCATGCCTGGCAAACCCTGTAAAGTGTTAGCAATTATCATCATTGTCTACACCATCGTGACTCTAAAAAATGTCTGGGGAGAAGTACCTCTACATACAAATGCAAAATTTCACAGGCAGGAAGGTGACTTGTTCAGTATTACTTGGTAGGTCACCACTTCAGTGATATTTTGAAGTTAGAATTTTTATACTTTACTGAGACACATTAGAGTATTTTCTCAAACCACTCCATTTTTTATGTTACTGAGATTTAAAAAAAATCACACAGAATTCAAATATATACAGAAATATGAATGAACATTAATGGCCAAATGAAAACTTTGGCCCTTACTTTAAGGATCTGAATCACACAAATCAGCTCTGCATAAACATTTTTTAGACAAACTAGTATTTAATAGAACAGCCCTTCTAAAACTTCAAGAGCCTACGAATCACCAAGTGATCATGTTAAAATGCAGACTCTGACTCGGTAGACATATGGTGGAGTCACAGATTGTCATTTCTAACAAGTTCAAAGGTGATGCCAAAGTGGGTGGTCTAGGGATCACACTAGAGAATACCAAGAAATTACTGCTAATTATGTTGTATTGGGTAAAGACATTGTTGTTATGTGCCAGAGAGTTGATTCCAACTCACAGCGAGCCTGCAAGGTTTCCAAGGAACAGCTAGTGGGTTTCAACCACCAACCTTGCAGCTACCAGTCCAGTGCTTACCCTACAGCACCAGGCATAATAAAAGTTCACAACTTTCTGAAGATACTCAAGGAACTGTGCAAGACTGAAATGATATGATGTCTGGAATTCATTTCAGCAGGGACAAAAAGATAGACATAGCAAGTGTGCCAATCTTAATAACTGGTAAATCTGACTAACAAGCATGTGGGTGTTCATTGTACTGTTCTGTTTGGGGGTATGTTTGAAAATTTTTATAACAAAATATTTTAAAGTACATTTCTTACAAGACCTTGAAAAAATTTCCAGAGTGCACTTGAAAGAAATAAGATCTTAACATATTCCTAGTCCTTCAATAATAAAGTTTACAAATATCAACTTCAGAAGCCCTTCAAAATAAACTAAAACAGCTGATTTCTTTCCAACCTCATTTTCTATGTTAAGATTTTTACTATCAAAATTTGTATATTTTATTTAGCTTCTTTCCAATCTGTTGCTTGTGTCCATTAAGCAACTAACAAGATGTGCTTATGTTTCTTGGAAGTTAAATACTTACCTGAGATTGCTCTGAAGTGGCTTCAGATTGTGGACCATTTGTGATACTTTTGACACTTATAGGTGACACTTCAAATGTGACATCATCTAGTCCTGGAATAGATGACAACTGAAAAAAAAAATAGTATATGAGGATGAAATCAGGTACATAAATAAGCACTGTTAAGTTTCTAACTTACATTTTCTACAAAGTTGTAATATATTAACTTATACTGGGTCCTGGTGTGGCACTATAAGATAAGCATTGGACAGATAGCTACAAGGTTAGCAGTTCAAATCCATCAGTAGCTCTCAGAAACCCTATAGAGGGTCGTTATGAGTAGAAACTTAGTTGACTTCACACAACAATATATATGCTAACATTTTTTAAATAGCTGTCTTTTATCCCTAGATGGTGCAGTTAAAGTACTTGGCAGCTAACAGAAAGGTAGCCCACTCGAGTCCATCCAGAGATACATACCTTGAAAGAAAGGCATGGTGAACTTCCAAAAAGAAAGCCATTAAAAACCCTATGAAGCATCGTTCTACTCTGACCAACCCTGAGACAAAACTGATTCAGTGGCAACATTATTTTTTTTTAATGGTAAAAACATACACACCAAAATATCTGCCAATAAAACTTACACATTTATAATCCAATGACACTGATATTTTTGTTGTGCTACCAATATCGTTTTTTCTAAAATTTGGCACCATCGTTAACAAAAACTCAGTGCCCTCCAAATAAATACTTCACCTTTCTCTCTCTCTCCTCCTCCTGGTAAATAGGAATAAACTTTGGTTTCTATGTATTTACTTATTTCGTGTAAATAAGATCATACAGTATTTGTCCTTGTGCAACTAACTTATTTCACTCAGTATAATAATGTTTGAAGTTTGAGAGGTACAGTTCTATTAAATGTTGTTGATGTTGTTATGTGCCGTGGAGTCAGTTCCGACTCATAGTGATACTTGTCTATAAAAGCGTCTTTTTAGAGCTGATTTATTTGTTTCAGCATGCAAGGTTCATCTATGTCAAGGTTCACCTATGCTGTGGCATATATCAGAACTTCATTTCTCTTAACAGTTGAATTAGTATTATTTCATTATATGTATGAACCATTTTGCTATCTATTTTATCTGTGATCAATGGTTCAGATGTTTCCATCTTTTGGTTATTATAAACAATGTTGCAATGAATATTGGTGAACAGGTTTCTACTCATGTTCCTGCCTTCAGTTCTGCAGGATAAACAAAATCTACTGCTAATAAGTGAATTCTAGCTCACAGAGACCATGTTTATGGAAGCATACAGCCACATCTTTTTCCCTCAGTGACTGATAGGTTTGAACTGCCAACCTTGAGGCTAGTAGTCCAATGTTCTGTCACAGTACCACCATGGCTGGATATATGAAGGTAAATGGAAAAGTATTGTCACTAGCGTTCCAGTTCATACAAACACAGGTTTATTTCAAACAAACTGTGTTTAAACATGCCTGTGATCAGTGGATGGCTGAACACAAGTTGTCTCAGGAATTCACTAATCTTAGTGTCATTAACACACACACACACACACACATACAAATCCAATGCCATCAGGTTTCTGCTGACTCATAGCACCCCTATTATTCAAGGTTTCCAAGGCCATATATCTTTACAGCAGAAAGGTTTATCTTTCTCTGTGGAGAAGCTGGTGGGCTTGAACTTCTGACCTTCTGGTTAGCAGTCCTACATTGCCACTAGAGATTCCTTTGGCCTCATTGGGGTACCTTCAGGAAATAAAATTTTAAAGGTCCCATCAAAATAGTATCTTCTGAGGTTATTTGGTGGTCCAATTCAATTCAAAGCAGAGAGACCAGTTCAAAAGATACGGCAGTT